CAAGTCCTTTTTAAAGTGTTGAAGAGCAAAGATGTCGGCTTGAGGACTAAGGTGCGCCTAACCCAAGCAAGCCATGGTATTTTCAATAACCTCATATGCATGCGAAAGCTGGACAGTAAATAAGACTGTAGAAGAATTGATGCTTTTAAGTTATGGTGTTGGAGGAGAATATTGAAAGTACCATGGGCTGCCAAAAGAACCAATAAATCTGTATTGGAAGAAGTGCAGCCAGAGTGCTCCTTGGAGGCCAAGATGGCCAAACTTCGTCTCTCATACTTATGACATATTGTCAGGAGGGACCAATTGCTGGAGAAGGATATCATGATTGGTAAGGGGAGGGTCAGAGAAAAAGAGGAAGACCCCCAACGAGATGGATTGGACAAGTGTCAGCTTCGATGGACTGAAGCGTGGCAACAGTAGTGAGGTTGGCCCAGGATTAGGTAGTGTTTCGTTCTGCTGTGCATAAGGTCACTATGGGTCTGTACTGACTTGATGGCACCTAACAACAACAACAAATGTTTATTTAGAAATGAATATAGGTAGAAGGCTAGTTCATATGAAAGAGAATATAGTTCTCAATATATTTGCTAAAGTTGTACCCATGGAAATGTTACTCATAGTAGATGTTAGTTTGTAAGGCATATGTTAAGTAGCTTCTGGTGTGTGAGCAACTGGGGTTATTCTGTTTTAGCAAGTACTAACTTTGAGATAGGCATTTGGGTATAAGCTATAAGAACATGAATTATAAGAAGATAAAAATGTCCTTTCCAAAGCTTAATGTAAATAATGTGTCAATCACCTGAGCAAAGTTGAGGGGCATGGTACAGAATACAACCATTTAGACCCCGGGTCTGGCCAGTTTGGGTCAACTATCTCTATTAAATCACTGATGTTGCGGTAGCTGGGCCCTTGGCAGGAGGGGTAGTGCCTTCCTTTGATGTACCTGAGTAGTGAAATGACCTATTCCCAAGAAATCCAACGTGCCTTTAATGTGGTTCTTTTCCTGGAGTAAGAACACGGGTAACCTCTACATCTGCAGACCTTGCTCTGCACTCTTTCTTCCTATCAGGAGAGATAACCAGAATATAATTGAGTGTATTTTCTCTCAGGTTTTGGTGTGGGTCTATACTGGTGTGTCGACATTGGAGTTCATATTCCAGATACTGGGCATTAACAATCACCTTCATGGAAAATACAACCTCAGTTTTTCAAACTGGAATTGGATGCTGGAGTACTATCTAAAACTAAAAAGTTTATATTACTTAAAAGTCCTATTTTCATGGATTCCTCAGTAAGGGCAGAGCTGGGTAGCCATCTGGACAGAGCTAGAGTTGGTTTCCTGTGTTATTCCTTAAACCAAAAAGTGCTTATTTTCTTGGTCTCTGAGAAAGGTGCTTGCAGGCTGGGTGGAGGAGAAGCAGTGGGCACGCTACCAGCAATGTAGTGTGGCGGTACAACCCCTGAGCTGGGCACCTTCATCCTCTCTTTCCAAATCATAAAAGTATATTCTTTGAGCAATTCCAAGTCTGTTTATTTTGCACTTTACTCAGGGGTGTTAAAGCATGCATGTACTAGAAGCGTCATTGTAGATTGAATAGCAAATGACTGGAAAAACCTAACTGCCTATCATTTAGCCAGTAGGGACTGGTTAGATAAGTGATTGAATAGCCATCAATACAACGCTGTGCAGCCATCAGAACGAATGAGGCAGCGCTTTATATGCCAGCACAGAGAGTGCCAAGATAGATGCTTGAGGGACAAAGGGCTCCAGGCCCCGTGCAGAGTATGGCAGTGCACATCAGAAACACATATGCCAAGTATGTGAGTGAGAGAAGTTTTTGAGAAGTTGACAGATCTTCGTCACATATTTAAAATAGCCTAGTTGTGTGAGAATAGCTGTTCGTTTCAGTGATTCCCCTGCCTCTTTTTGGGACGTGGGGGTGACCCCTCTAACTCACATTGTGATATGTTTAGATTCCTGTGGCCATACACTGCTGGTTGCCTATAGTAGTCCTTAACCTTAGCCCCATACTTGTCTTTTTTCAGGACCATGGTTTTTTTTAGCTCACCCTCTTATAAGGGGCCATCTCCTTTATGGGAGTCCTGGTCCTTCCCCAGCTACCTAATTATGGTTATCTTGGCGGGGGGTGGTCACATCATTGAGTCACCAAAGCCCACTGGGATTGTTTCCTGGGAAGATTTTCTTAGTTCTTAAAAACAGGTAATGGCTGAGCTATTTCCCTTTCTCTGTCTCTGGGTATTGATGTGATGCCTGGAGCTGTTGCAGCCATCTTGTAGTCTCGAAGTAGCTGACAGGCTAACTAAAGGTGCAAACTGATAGAGCCCTGTGAGCATTACCTGTCTTTTCTCTGGCACTGGGAACCAGAGCTTGGGAAGTGCTTCTCAGGTGACAGAAAGAACTGATGGGAGCCTCCTCACCTGCTCACCATGAGGACTTGGACTTCCTTCTCCTACACTGCAGTTAAAGTACGAGTGGAGTGGGGATGGGAGCACAGCAGAACCCAAATGATAGAAGCTCAAAGAATTGCTCTTTTTTTTTTCCTCCTGGCTTCTGAAATTCTCTATTTCCAGGCCTGGGGATTTGTTCCTTTCCCCACTGCACACCCAATTCAAATAGCCGATTCTCTGGGGTCTGGGATAGATTTGAGGGCCTCACCTAAGCCCTCCCTGTCCTTCCATCTCCCTTCATTTGAGTTCAGTAACTTGTTATGGCATCTGGGGTTTAAAAGCTTGTCCTGGCTCACCTACACGGTCCTTCCTAAGTTGAGGATAGTCACCAGCATAGATGAGGTTTGCAAACCAGCCCAGGCAGAATTGTAGGTATCTCTGCAGCCTCCATGTCCTTGGAGTGCCTGATGTCAACAGTTTAGTGAAATTCCCACCAGGCATTATAAGAAAAAGGAGAAAAGGCACATCTGTTCTCAGCACATTGGAGGTGGTAAACAGCTTACATGGTGTTATAGGAATGCCAGGCGAGGGCGTGGGCCTGAAAGAGAGCAGGACCCCTCACTGAAGCTGCCTGTCTTGCCCCTTCTCTCCTCCCTTTCAATCTGGGATTCCTCATCTCTCCCTGCTAACTCTACAGATCCACCCTGAGACCCAAGGCTCTCAGGAGTCAACCTTTGTGATCCCAGTCCATGAGCTAATTCCTCTGACCTCCAGAGACACTTACTTTCATTGTAGTGAAATATTGGCCTAAACCTGTCACAAACCACCCTGTGTTGTTATTTGTTGTATTTCAAATTTATGCTAGAACCTTTGTTTTGTCTCTCTTTGTCCTCTGTAACCACTTGTGTACCTTCCAGTTGATTCCAACTCATAACAACCCTATATGGGGTTCCTGAGAGTGACTGGTGGGTTTGAAGTGCCTACCTTTCACTTAGCAATCCAGTGTTTAACCTAAAGCACCACACCTAGATGGGACTTTCCCCATAGACTGTAAATTACAAAAATGCCCCACATTACCCTATATGTCACTTGAACCGCCGACCTTGTGGATCAAAACAACTGTGCAGTCCAGTGCATTAACCCACAGAGCTACACCAGGACTCAGGAGGAAAATAGAAGTTTTCTATTTTCCTTTACCCTTAATGACCACTGCCATTCACCAGCCTCCCCTCCCAGATGACGTTTGCCCCTAGCTCAGTGTCTTCACCCACCCTTTCCATCACCGCTCCTCACAAAGCAGTTGGACCTACAGGTGACACATTTTCACATTTCTATTTTCCCTCCCACAGTGTCCAGCAGAGGACAGGGACACTCCATAAATCTAACTGGGGTGGAAGGCAAACAGGACAGAGGTGCTTGGAAGATGTGGGATTTGAGGTGAAGCATAGAGGTGGGTCGCTGGGGTAGGCTGAGCTAACACTAGAGGTTTGCCTCCTCAGAAGGACCCACCAGCCCAGCTCACCTTAACGATGTGATGTGCTGCCTGTGACATGGCTTGGCATGTGATGGCCTGTGTCATAACCATTTCCCACCATTGCCTTCAGGGACCACAGGAGCTGTGAGAAGTGGCAGGAGACATTCTGGTCAGGAAGTGGACTTTACCACCTAGAGAGAGACCTGGCTTACCCGAAGGTCACTGAAGGCCTCAAAGCACAGATTTGAGTAGTCCCCGAAGTAGTTGATGAGGTTCCCGTTCTGCCACCTGCCACATTTGACCTGGAGCAGCTGCCAACAGAGAGGTGGAGGAAGAAGCTCTAGAAAAGAAGTGTGGGTAGGTACGGCTACTAAGGATGTCTAGAGAGCCTCATTCTTGAAGAAAGGGGAGCAGGGTCTGGGACATTAAGTCCTGAAGGCAGTGGCAGTGATGAATTAGCAATTTGGACATGGAGCTAGACTAACCTCATAAAAACAGGAAGGGGTTAAGGTTTGAGTATCGTTCTTAGAATAAACTTGATAGGTTGAAATTTGCCAGAGGGTCGAGAGTATTAAGTTCTGAAGAAATGAGGTACGATATTGGGTGTGAAAGGTTAGGTCCTTGAGGGCATGTGGGTATCAGATCCTCTATTATGTGGGGTAGGAGAATCTGCTTGCTTTCTCTTTTATTGTGAATTGAGTGATAGTTTACATGGGAGAACATCAGTTGTGTACTCAGCCTATCGTATTTTGTTCCATTGCAATGATTACCATCCTCTCCATGCATCATCCGTTAACAGTATTTGCTTCTGTTCCCTCTGTTTTGTTTTGTTTTTGATGTTTACAAAAACATGCAGGAATGTTTCATTTAAACAACCTAAGGGCACATTCTGCAAGCCTGCCTCCTGGCTGCCAGCACACAGCCTTTCTCTAGAGTCTACAGTCCTCAGCTGCTCTATTTCTCCTTGCCATCACCTCTTGTCTCCAGCTCTGGTGTTGCTGCTTCTCTGGTTAGGGCCCTGCTTACTTTCTTAGTGGATTTTACTAAGAATTGTCATTCACTGCACTTTCCTTAGGCTTGAGGGGGTACTAAAGGGGCAGGTTAGTGACAGCAGTGAACCAAGGAAGAAGCTGGCATGTGGTTTCTGATTCATCTGCTGCCTCCTCATCAAACTCTAACTTACTTCTCAGCCTCTCTGCCTCCTTGTCAAGTTCCCTCTAACCAAGACACCTTGTCTTCTTCCCTCGCACCAAAACCTTTCAAAGCACTGATTGGGTTTGCCCTTTCCCCAGCCTCTCCGTGAATCCACTCTCCATCCTCTGACTTCTCGATAAGTTCCCTTTCCACCATCGTCTGCTCCATGTCACCTAGCACTCTGTCCAGCCATAATCTCCACAGGCAGCAATAGTGCTCGCATGTTGAGGCAATATCGCTGGGGGTGTCATACAGAGTGCATATGGTACCAGCTGAAGCAGTGGGGGAAAGGGGCTTACGAACTGTGAATGACAGCATGCCATCAAATCTTCATCAAGGATGTTTCTTTTTGGGGTTGTTTTTATGGCAAATGTTTTAGGAAGCATGAAAATGTGTACTTATCATCCATTAAGCCAGCCTGACCTCCCTGGTTGTGGTGAGTCAGCTGTTGCTGCTTTACTCATTCATACTGGATGCTCTTGAGACCCTTTTTCTTTCCTTTGATGGCAACAGGTTTGGTCTACTTTGGTTTTGCTGTCCCAGGCCCCCAAACCAGGCTAAGCCGAGCTCCCCTTGGACTCTGACCTGCCCTAGACCTCACCTGTGGGAGATCCCAGTGATGCAAGGTCACCACAGAGGTGATGTTGCTCTTCAGAAGGGCGTCAGTGACCAGTGACGTTGCTGTAGAATTTGACTCCCTTTTCATTCACCTGGTCAGCTATAGGTGAAATAAAAGGGGCTTTGATGAGGAAGGGCCTCACCCTTGGCCTTTTGAAGTGCAGCATTTCTGGGCCCTGTGGCTTTTTGCAGGGTGTGGTGCTGTGGGTTAATGCGCCAGACTGCAAAGCCGTTTGAACTGCAGGGTTGGTGGTTCAAGCTCACCAGCTGCTCCTTGAAAACCCTACAGGATCGCTATGGGTTGGAACCTACTCGACGGCACTTAACAACAACAAAGGCCCTTGCAGCTGTCAGCATGCTTACGAAACCTGGGAGAGCTGCTGCCAGCTGCAACCATGTTCTCAGTCTAGTCTCCCTCCTCAGGATTCTGTGATGTCCCTGCAAAACCAGCTATTGCCAAAAGAGGCCACACTTAGGCTTGCGAGGGGCCACCTCAGATCCCCTCAAACACCTGTGGGTAGGTGTCAGGGCCAAGACAGGGAGAATTGGTAGTGGCTCATGTTCAATTCCCTCAGCAAAGCTCTGTCCTCCTGCAGAGACAAGAGTGGGAAGAAGGACAGGGCCATCTAGGGACTTGGGTGGTGTTGGGGAGGGGACACTGAGGCTCACTCTTGTCACCATGGGGTGTTGCTCTTCAGAAGGGCGTCAATGGCACTGCTGCAGAATTTGACTCCCTTCTCATTCACCTGGTCAGCTGGTGGTTGTTAAGTGCCATCTAGTCGGCTAGGTGGAATAAAAGGGGCTTTGATGAGGAGTAGCACTGGACTGCTAACCACAAGGTTGGCGGTTCAAACTCACCAGCCTCTCCTTGGACAGCACTTAAAAACATGACTTCTCAGCCCCCTCTACCTCAGTCTCCATTCACTATTGTCCCCACCTCACCCTAGGCCTCAGTGCAGTTATATTCAGTCAGGAATCTTCCGTGTTCTTGCCCCAGGCCTCGGTTTCTTGACTGGGCTGGAGTACAGGGTGTTGGCAGAGCACCAGCTTGGCACTGTCACCTAGGCTTAGCTTGACGTGTACACAAACACACACCGCCGTTAGTCACCTGGTCCCTGTAGTAACCATCGCATGCCTCATCATCCCCTAGCACCTTCCCCTTCCTGCTGGGCATGAAGGCATCGCAGATGCTGGGCCCTTTCCTGTCCTGGTCCCAAGCGCCCTCTGTCTGGTAGGCAGAACTGCCCACACCCCAGGAAAAGCCTATAGGTAGAGACCCCAAAGCTGGGTCCAGACCCTTCCTCACTAGCCTGCCCTGTCTCCCCCGGGCTTATCTCCCCAGGAGTGGGAATGTGTACGGTCCAGATAGGAAACGGTCAGTGACTCAAATCTACCAACTGCTCCTATACAGGGTCGCTATGAGTCAGAACTGACTCGGAGGCAATTAACATAATTGATTAACATTTATTGTCTAAATAACTTTTTAAGAACTTAAAAAAAAACCTGTTAAGATCATGGAGCAACTCTATGAAGTTGTTTCCAATCTCCATCCCATCCCACCCAACCTACCAGTCGGAAGGCTAGAACACCAAACTGTTTGGCAAGCCAGCCAAGGTGGGTATACTGACAGATTGACAGACCAACAGATGAGACATACCAGGTGGGAACATTCCATAGTAGAAGGAGGCCTCTTCTGGGAACCCCTTTCCTGTTGGACCCCAGCCTGGGCACCAGTGTTAGCACCCACCAAAAGGTGGCAACCCGAACTGGCTTCATGGCGTTCCGCCTCCCCACAGACTTAAAAAAAAGCATCCGTGCTACATCAGCCCCTGGGCTCTGGGGTGATATCAGCAGGGGGCTTTGTCTTCACGGGGGTATCAGGCACAAATCTGCTGGGCCCCAGCTGTGACTCCAGGGTGAAGTCTTGTGGACAAGGCTTGGCTCAGGGAGCTCCAGGTGGGATGGGTAGGTCTCCACACCAACCCTTTCCCTTCCCTAGTTCCCAGTCTAATGTCCAATCTGATGGGGGAGTGGGGGCAACACACTGAACCTCTACTGAAATAATACCTATAGACTGGCATATGCAGAGGGCAGACCGCCGCCCAAGAGAGGAGATGTCAAAAGCAGGAGTGCCCCCCCAACCCGCCCCCAGCCAGGGCCTCCAATCCTGAGGGACAATCCCTGTTCCTGTGGACTTCCTTCTTGGAGGCCAGCCTAGCCAGCTGATCCAGGATTGCCCGTGATCTCAGACCAAGCGGGGACCAGAGCACTCTCTGACTGGCCCCTGTGCCCACTCTGCCTCTGAAAGAAGAGCCCACAGCACTGGAGAAGGTTCTGGGTGGGGGTGTGGTCTATGGTCTAACCCCCTTGAGAGAGGCCCAAGGCTGGAAAGCTGACCTGGGAGCGCTGAGCTAGCCTTTGGGGCCTGAGTCTGCAGCCTGGGACCTTGGACTTGTGCCCTGCCAGAGCTGAGGGGCAGCTGAGGTGGGCAGGAAACCAATCCTCCTCACCTTCTGGGGCTGAAACTCCACCTCCAGCCCATTATCATCCTAGAAAGCTCCAGGTGAGTGTGGCAAGGTGGACACAGTGCCCACCAAGTGTTGGCATCTCTATCCTTACCTGCTGCCAAAGAAAAGGCATTGTAAAATTGACTTTTCCAACTTGCCCTGATCTCTTCGGATCCCCTAATCCGTTCATTCTCTCACTTACAACCCTCCCACTGCCTGCTAGAACACAACTTCCCAAGAGGCTCAGCACCTCTAGTCCCCTATCCTGTCTGCTTAGGCCCCCAACCTGCTGTGGGGTTCTGTCCCTACAGCCTCCACCCACACCCCACTAGCAAACCTCCCCCAAGGAAGGCCTAATCCTGCCTCAACCTCCAGCTTCTCCTTTTTCTGTTGAGTCCACAAAGAGGCTCTCTCAACTGGGCAGCCTTTGTTGCTGATTACATGCTTTGTAATCCCTCAGTATAAAGCCCTGGTGGTGTGATGATTAAGCACTCATAGCTAACCAAAAGGTCGGTGGTTCGAATCTACCAGCTGACCTACAAGAGAAAAGACCCAGCAATGGCCATCTGTAAAGGTTACAGAAACCCTATGGAGCTGTTGTACTCTGCCCTATAGGTGACTCAGATTAGACTCCACAGCACACAACTGCAAGCCTTCAGTCTGGATGGGTAGCACCTCTTCCAGGAAGCTTTCCCAGACCTACTCACCTGTAGCGCAGGTTACATGTGTGCCCTCTGACCCTGCATCTCCTGTCATCTGTTCACCCATGCTGGCTTGTACTCACCTATGCCAACTTCATTCACCCAGCATTCCCCTGTCCTGGCTCGTTGCCTAGCACATAGTGTTAAGTACCATAGAGTCGGTTCCAATTCATAGTGACCCTGAACAGGGTTTCCGAGGCTGTAAATCTTTACAGGAGCAGAATGCCTCATCTTTTTCCCACGGAACCACTGGTAGTTTCGAACTGCTGACCTTGAGTTTGGCAGCCCAATTCATAACCACTATGCTACCAGAAGTACCAGCACATAGTTGTTGTTGTTATGTGCCGTGGAGTCGGTTCCAACTCATAGCAACCCTGTATGGTAGCAGAAAGCCTCATCTTTCTCCCGCGGAACCGCTGGTAGTTTCGAACTGCTGACCTTGCGGTTCGCAGCCTGATTCGTAACCACTACGCAACCAGAGCTCCTTACTAGCACATAGTAGGCACTTAGTAATGTGAGTTGAATGTAAATTATAGTCACATAATTATCTTAGAAATGACTGCCATTTACTAGTGCGCTTCTTATGACCCTGATGTTTCCATGGATTGATTCGTTGAATTTTCCCAACAGAACCCAAGGCAGGGTGATTTCTGGGCCCTCAGCACCTGCAGAGTTGTACCTATATTTCTATGTAGCATAGAAGCTGGGCCCATTCTGGACCTGACCACGCTGGGACCCTGCTCTGAGGGCCCTACTATTATGGAACCCATTTTGCAGTCAGTAAACTGGATAGCTCCTCCACCACTTACCTCACGCTCCCACTACCACTCAATCCCTCTGGGCTTCTCTTTCCTGGCAAGTGTCCAGAGCTATGCTGAGTCCTATGGGGAGACAGAGTCCCTGGATACTTGACTGCTAACCCAGAGTTTGGAGGTTCAAGCCCTCCCTTACAAGAAAGGCTTGGTGATCTACTTCCGTGCAGTATGCCCTTGAAAACCCTGTGAAGCAGCTCTGTTCTGACACACATGGCTGTCCCCATGAGTCAGCTGGCTTCCTGGCCCTAGGGGGAGGGTGACTGAATCCAGGCAGGAGGTTGCGCTCCCCTTCAGCTGCCCCCACAGGGACAAGCTCCCCTTGGTAAAACCTGTGGTAGGTGACTAAGGCTCCCTCACTGACTCAGCTTCCCCAGGCATAGTCTGAGGCAGAAAATGCTTCTCAAAGAGGATGCCATGGCTAGGTTCCCTGGCATGGTGAATGGATGAATGGGGGCACCTCTCTACCAGATTACCTACTGTCTGCCTCAATCCTTTCCTCCCCCAGTAATTCTTGAGTCCCCACCAAATGTTAGAGGAGCTCCAGGGACCAGAGTGAAATGTGGTTTGGGCTGTGCCTTCCAGGGTCTGAGCGCCTAAGGCAGGGGGTCCAGTGTGATGCAGGGCTTATAGGGGGAGGCTGGACAGACACTGTCAGGGCTCAGGGAGGTGGGAGGCAGGAAGGCCTGGCTCCATGGGTCTTAGTTCTCTAGTGCTGCTAGGACACAGTGGGAGGCTTTAACAAACAAATTTATTCTCACAGTTTAGGAGGCTAGAAGGCTGAATTCAGAATGTCGCCTCTAGGGGAAGGCTTCTTTCTTTGTCAGCTCTGGGGGAAAGTCCTTGTCTCCTTTCGGGGTGTCCAGGCCCAGCGTTTCATGGGAGTTTTCCATGTGTCTGGGCATCAATCTTCCCCTGGATCAAGGAGCTTCACAGTTCAGGAAGCCCAGGGCCAAAGGACATTCCACTCTTGGCTCTCCTTTTCTCTTTGTAAGATGCAACATGTTGCAGGTCACACCTTCAGTCAATTGGCTGCTCGTCGCAGATCTCATCATGGAAGCATTACATTGCATTTGATTTCATCATGGGGGATTACTCCATTGTAACTCCCAAATACTGAAAATCCTTGCTCAGTCAAGTTGACACAAAACCTCAGCTACCACAGATATGTAGCAATATGCAAACCAGGGAAGGCACATAGGACAGAGGGAACAACATAAACAAAGACCCAGATATGTATTTGGGGAGCTGGGAGCTTGGTCTCTTCTCTTTTGTCTGTCCTGCAATGTCCAGGCAAGGCTGTCCTCTTGGGGTGACCAGGTCAGGAGACAACTCCCCACTCCCCACATCTCTCTGGGAATGGGACTTCTGGAAGTATCTATTTGTGTTTGCATGGTGCCATTTTCATATTATTTGGGTGTGTTGTTGGCACTGGTGCTGATGGTGACTCTAGAGAGCCCGCCGTCTGCCTCACAGGCCAATGGTCTCAGGGAACTGGCTCTCTCGGCTGAGATTGGCAGGAAATATAAAACTCTAGGAGCTGATGTCATCTCAGAAAAATGCCCCCACCCGCCAAGTTGAGGCCCAGTGTTTGTGTTGGAGGGGCTGCTGAGCCTGGCATGACTGGGCTGTGTGGGGCTGCACGGGGCGGGCCCATCTGTGGACTAGTCTCCTCCCCTGGGTTCTAAGTCTGGCTCTAGCTGAAAGGATGCTTGCCTCATGGTTCAACACACTCCTATCAGGCCTCTCCCCCGCACACGCCCCAGGGGCTGCATAGGTCCTGCCTGAGACTAGAGCTCCCAGAGTAGGGTGAGGACCCCTTTCTGGACAGTGGGACTGTAATCCCTGGGGGTCAGGTCGTGGCTGAGAAACAGGGTGTATAGGCAGGCAGGTGGCTCTTAGGCCCCATAGATCCTTCCTCTGCCCTTCTTGCAGGGGCTGTAGAATGGGGGCCCCTCTACCAGCACCCCCACAGGGTCCAGGCTACAGACTTCTAAGAACAGACTTGGTAAAAGCCAAGGATCCAGTCTTCAGGCACAGGGCAGAGCCACATGTGGACACAGAGAGGGGATGCTGAGGAACCCCCGGCTGTCTCCTGTCTCTGCCTCAGATCCTGAGGAGTGAACTGAGGGCAGCAAGGGAAAGACACCTGGGATTTAGGAGAACCAAGTCCTACCGCCATCTTGCCAGGAACTGGCTCCTCACTGGTGGAGGACGAGCACTAGACAGCTGCTCTTTCTGGATCCTTCTGGCTGGCAATCTGGAACTTAGCATTCTCTTCCTTGGCCTTTGGCTGGTCATCCTTTCTCCCGAGGGGTCTCTAGGTCCCACCCTCCCACACTATACCCACAGTCCTACAAACCTGCTTAGCCCTGCCAAGCCCTAAGTTGAGGGATGAGCCCTAGGTCAGAATCAGAGCAGAAAACAAAGTTTAGTCCTTGGGCCCACCATTGGCCCTCTCTGAACCTTCACTTCCTCCTCTGAATAAAGGAGGCTGGCTCCCAGGTGCCTGAGTCTTTTCTATTAAGGAAGTTGTTTCAGGTTGACTTGGTTTTATGGTAGGCAGGGAAACTGGTCAGAGCATCCCTGAAAATGATAGGATAGAGTTGGCATGATGAGAGTGAGGCTGGCTTAGCCTCTGAGCAGGTCTCAGGTGTGTGGGTGCAGGGAGGGTTGGGAAAGGGATGAGTCCTAGGATTCAGAGCTGTCCCGGGGAGCAGGCAGTTTGGGGGCATAGATAGATGCTTGGTCTTATT